TTTTTTTTTGGCAGTCCCAGTGTGGGACTTGCTCTGTTTATATATTTTTATTTTATTTTAATTTTCAGTATTTAAAAATTAAGTGCGTCTTAACGTCCGGTGCGTCTTATGGAGCGAAAAATACGGTACAGTATATAAAATAAATAAATTATTGACAAAGGATAGCATAGATTCACATTAGCAGAGAAACAAGTAAACATGCCTTTGATATTGCGTGTGATCTCTTTTGGCCCTGTACTCGTGTTTGCCATACACACCCTAAGAAACAATACCAACCTTATCTTCAAAGAGGTGGATAAGTCATTAACAAGTGTGACTCACACAATTTGCAGCTTGTACCTGCTATAATAACCAGCCATTGTCCTTCTGTATCTCAACATGTCATGGGGCTGTGTATAAATGATTGCCATATAGTCTCACTCTTTTATCTGATGAAGTGGACTTCATCCACAAAAGCTCACATTAAAATATGGCAGTTCATCTTTATTTCTCTTTTTTATTTTTAGTTTAGTTTAATTTTGTTCTTATCTGTTACGCTTGCACAGACCAACACAACTACCACTTTGAAAACTGTTTTGTCTCAGTTCTGTTGGAAAAAGTGTTATGTTTGCTACTTTGTCACATACTCTTGGAGCAACTCTCTGTTTCTTATTATTTTCAACTCCTGGATGGCTCACTGGCTGTGGAGCCAGAAGCTGGGAGTTCAATTCCTCACAGTGCCTCCTTGATAGGGGCTGGAGTTGATGATCCAGAGTCCCTTCCAGCTCTGCATTCTAAGGTTATAAATATTGTTGGGAATTGATGGCATGTTTCAATGAATCTCTTCCTCTTTTTTCTAAGCTGAAGGGATGTAGGTTGCTGCTGGTGATGTTTAGATGCCTCCAAATGATTTGCCTTGACTGCCAAAACTTTTCACTGCATCATTGTGCTGAGCAAGTATATTACAACCTTTTTCGCATTCAGAATTCCAGAAATGCTTGTGACAGAGCTAGCTCTTTTATCAAGTCAAAATAATTTACTGCAAACTGAAAAATCCAATTCATTAGGGTGAGCAGTGGAAAGAAATGAAGTAAATGAAAATCATATCACTTGAGACTCTTCTTTCTCTTTTCTAGGCAGGAATACAACTAAAATTTTGGATTGAGGTACTGTAAAATTGCAGTTGTACAAGATGATGGTTTTTCCAAAAATGTTAGTTTATTCTTCTCTATTGGCAGCCCTCCCAGTACAGGAACTACACCATGTCAGCCACAGTAAGGATCCTGTGTTCACTTAGGCTGAAATCCGACACACGTTTCACTTAGAAATAAGTGTCATTGAATCTGTCTGTTTGT